TCGAATATTGTGCCTGTTAGAAAGAAAAATGGCAAAATACGTGTTTGTGTGGATTTTAGAAATTTGAACAATGCTACACCGAAAGATTTGTATCCCATGCCGGTGGCTGACATGTTAATCGATGCCGTAACCAGGCATGTCAGGTTTTCTTTCATGGACTGTTACTCGGGCTATAACCAGATATACATAGCCGAGGAAGATGTACACAAAACGGCGTATCGGTGTCCAGGATCCATTGGCTGTTTCGAGTGGATTATGATGCCATTTGGATTGGCCAACGCCGGGGCAACTTACCAACGAGCCATGAATGCAATATTTCATGACCTGATTGGCGAGCTTGTCGAAGTGTACGTGGACGACATCGTCGTCAAATCAAAGGTGACAAACCACCACCTTGCTCATTTGCGCAAAGCATTTCTGCGTATGCGTGTTCATAAGTTGAAATTAAATCCGCTCAAATGTGCATTTGGTGTGAGTGCAGGAAATTTCTTGGTTTTCTGGTAAACCAACGCGGAATTGAGGTAGATGGCAACAAAACAAAAGCCATCATCAATGCCGCACCACCATCCAGTAAGAAAGAGTTGCAACGTTTCCTCGGCCAGGTAAATTACATTCGAAGATTTATCTCGAATTGTGCTGGCCGGACCCAAGTGTTTTCCTCACTGCTGAAGTTGAAGAAGGAAGACAAGTTTGTATGGAGGGAAGAACATCAACGAGCATTTGATGATATTAAGAGATACCTGGCGACTCCGCCGGTGATGAACTCGCCCAAAGCAGGGGTGCCGCTGAAGTTGTACTTGTCGGCCACGGACACTTCTGTGGCATGTGTGTTGGCGCAAGACAACGAAGCTGGCAATGAAGAAGCCATTTATTATCTAAGTAGGGTTCTGAACGAGGGTGAGAGAAAGTATTCCCCCATAGAGAAGTTATGTTTAGCGTTGTACTTTGCCAAACAGACTTGATTAAATACATGCTATCTCGGCCAATTATTCATGGCCGAATTGGCAAATGGACCTTGGCTCTGTCTGAATTTAATTTAGAGTATGTACCTCAACGAGCCATAAAAGGGCAAGCATTGGCGGACTTCTTGGCAGATCATCCCTGCATTGAGGTGCCAATCGATCCCGTAGAAGTCTGCGAGGTTGGTATAACGCCATGGATCCTGTATTTTGACGGATCCAAAACTCGTGGCGGTGCCGGGGCTGGTGTGATGTTGAAAGCACCATCAGGCCGGGCCATGCATTTTGCATTCTCGTTGGATTTTCCTTGCACCAACAACCAAGCTGAATATGAAGCTTTGGTAGTCGGGCTTGAAATGCTCGTAGAGCTTGGAGCCCGTTACGTGGATGTTAAGGGAGATTCACAGTTGGTGGTTCATCAGATCCGCGGAGATTTTCGCTGTATCAATAGTGTTCTGGAAACGTATCTGGACCATGTATTGTCGTTGACGTCCCACTTCGACAGTATGGCGATCAACTTTGTTCCTCGAATGGACAATTGCGAAGCCAACTATCTTGCACAAATGGCTTCGGGGTTTAAAGAGTTTGCGAAAAGCAATGCAGTAGAGCAAATAGTGGTGCAAACACTCAAGCCCTTGCGGGAGCGATTGAGAGTTGAGCAAGTGTGCGTAATAGAGAAAGACGCCGATGACTGGCGTGCACCACTGTTGTCTTACTTGCAAGATCCGAACAAGGTTGTTGACCATGCCATCAAGTTTAGAGCAAGGAGCTACGTAGTTTTGGATGGGACCTTGTATAAACGCAGGCCTGATGGGTTATTGCTGAAGTGCTTGGGGGGCAAGGAGGCATTGCAAGCCATGGCAGAGGTGCATGAAGGAATATGCGGAGCTCACCAAGCCGGTCCTTCCATGCGATGGATTCTACATCGCTATGGATTCTACTGGCCCACCATCGGGCCAGATTGTGCCGCATATGCCAAGGGTTGCGAAGCTTGTCAACGTCACGGTCCTGTTCAAAGAGCGCCGGCGGTTGACCTGAAGTCCATAATCAAACCGAGGCCGTTTTATGGTTGGGCCATGGATTTGATTGGTATGATTTATCCCCCATCGTCAAAGAAACATGTTTTCATAATTTTGGCCACTGACTACTTCACTAAGTGGGTGGAGGCCAAACCGTTGAAAGTGGCGAACCAAGAGGAAGTGATTTCTTTCATACAGGAACATATTATCCACCGATTTGGTTTGCCGGCAACGATAACAGCGGACCAAGGAACTGTGTTCACTGGGGGGCAAGTTATGGAGTTCGCGGCGAAGCGGGGGATAAAAATTATCCATTCGACGCCGTATTATGCACAAGCTAACGGGCAAGCGGAAGCATCCAACAAAGTCATAAAAAATATTTTGACAAAGATGATCGAGGATAATCCGCGACGTTGGCATGAAATATTATCAGAGGCGTTGTGGGCATACAGGATGTCCCCGCGGAGCAGTACGAGAGTGAGTCCATTCTCACTAACTTATGGGCATGAAGCATTCCTTCCCGTGGAGGTGACCGTGAACTCACTCCGGTATATGAAGCAGCACGAGTTAACACCTCAGGAGTATCATGAGTCGATGATGCTCGAGCTCTGCGATCTTGATGAACTACAACTCCGCGCCCTTGATAATGTTCAAGTACAGAAAGCAAGAGTGGCAAGAGCTTATAACAAGAAGGTTCGGCACAAATCATTCGAGGAGGGCGAACTGGTTTGGAAAGCTCACTTGCCGATTGGGGAAAAAGATCCCAAGTTTGGAAAATGGTCGCCAAATTGGCGAGGACAATTTGTGGTACATTCTGTGCGTCCTAATGGAGCGTACCTGCTAAAAGATTTAGATGGAGTGATGCATGAGCGTTTGATAAATGGCAAATATTTAAAGCCATATGTGCCGTCCCTATGGGACGCAGCTGGTCATTAATCTGAACAATGACGAACAACCATGTGCTAAAAGGAAGTGGCTTGGTTGGCCACCAAGCTTGCACAATATGGTTGAATAGTATGCGATTGGCGAAGTATGCAACCAATACACTAATTTGCCAGCTCCGTTACTAATAAAGAAAAATTTTAATGCCTTTAAGGCCAGCGGCAGGGTTCATTCAAGTCCGGCCGGTGCGGTACCGCTGTTCGGTACCAACAAAAAGAAAATTCAAAATCAGGACAGTTTGGATGCTAAACAGCGCCGCGAATGCGAGGCCGCACAACCGGCCGCAATAGATAATAATAATAATAATAATAATAATAATAATAAAGAGTCGGCCAAAATAATAAAAAAAATATAATAATAATAATAAAAGGATTTTGGCCAAAACAACGCTGGCGAGGGAAACAAAAATCAGAGTTGTGTGGGTAGCAAAACAGCGCTGCGGGAGCAGCAACAACGCTGTTTGGGGGATTCTTTTGGGCCAGGGTTGCCCAGATTGGAGTTGGACGCCTGCTGCAATTCCAAAAAAAAAAAAAAAAAAAAAAACACAACTGCCGGCCGCTGCAACATTGCATGGCAAAGTAGCTATACATTTAGCCTAATGAAGTGACAAAGTAGGTTTATTATACATGCGTGGAAGCACAAATGCCGCCAACAGCATTGTTTTAGAGGGACCATACATTTGAAGTGTTCCAATTCTACATGGAAGTTAATTTCTCAATGTCCTTCCCTACGTTGGCAAAGGATGATGAGAATGGTGTGTAGTTGGAGAAGGAAACCTAGTTTCACAAGGAAGAGGCCTCAACGCCGTTGTTGGCCACTAATGCTTTAGAACAAATCATCGGTACTGCTGCTGAGGCCAGGTATTATTTTTTGGTGTTCTCATTAAATTTTGTCAACAATTTGGTTCATAATTCTTATAAACCAAATTGTGGGGGGCATTTGTTGACACCTAAAATTAATTTGACCGGGATTAAATGCCGCATAAATTAGTCTCGGAATTTAATTCGATACCGCGGGTTAAAAAACGGTATCGTTTGGAGTTAAAACGGTACCGCAAGGAAGCTGACCGGTACCGCAACACCGGAAACGACACCGCAGGCCGAAAATAGAGAGGCCGCTCGTTTAATGAAGGGTGAGGAGGAATTGTGATTATTTAATTATTATTTGTTATTCCTTTGGAGTAAAACGGTACCGCAAGGAGGCTTAGCGGTACCGCGGTACTGGAAACGATACCGAGGAATAAACAAGGGCCGCGCGTGTGGTTTCTTGTTGGAGAAGGAGTTTTGTTTATGATTAATTAATATTTTTATTCCTTGTTGGAGGAGGAAAATCGGTACCGCGAAGAGTTAAAACGGTACCGCAGAATTAAAAACGGTGCCGCGAGAGCCTGGCAAGCGGTACTGACTCGCTGTTACTGTCACCCTAGAAAATGGCCAAGTATAACCACTTCCTAAAGCGTAGTATAGCGGGTCGGGTTTTAATGTCAACCCGGGTCCTAGATGTGATGACTACTCGGTGAATTCTTGTTATTCAGCAGTGAACTTTTAGTGAAACTCAAGCAAACAAAACACAAAGCAAGTAAACGGTTTGTTGTCAAGTCAAGAGAGGTCACCCGGATATGGTTTCCCCCTAGACTGCAGTTAAGTCGGATTGCAATTTACCAAGTTCAGTTTTCATGAAAGTTATACTGCGGAAGGTTCTCAATTAGCCTGAAGTCTCGACTAAAGGTCTCCAGACCCTCTCAATCTGAGTCTCTAGCGGGCGACTAACCTCCACCGGAGTAAACAGATTGAGGCCCTAATGAACCAAACCTCCACTACCGAATCGACTTCGGTACAGAATAGCGAATTGGCTCCTCGACTAAAGTCACCAATTCGCTACCTTCGATTAAGGGTACTCTATCAACCTAGGCAGATATTCTCATTCCAGGTCAAAGCAGAAACAACAGGAATTTGATCAGGATTCAAGTCATTCAATCAATCAAACCTCAATCGAATATAATCAATTCACAAACACTGTACTTGGGTTCATACAATCAGACCTAGCTTACAAATCTAGGGTTCTCCATACCCAGATGAATGGGGTAACTACTCCATAGAGAAAGAAGCAAAAGCAGATTCAGACACGGAAATCATACTGTGAAGTTGGATTCCTGCTTCTGGACGTTTAATCGCACTTCTCCAAGCTCAAGACGGGCTCCAATGGTGTTGAAGATCGATCTATGGCGCTTGGGAACTCTGGTTCGACGCTTTCTCTCTCTAGGTATCGGTTTCTCTCTCAAAAACTCGGACCCCTTCAATGTTGGCCTTCTTCTCTCTTAAATCCTCTGCCTGGTCGCGATACCCGGTCAAAATACCCGGTCGGGTATTTTGGGTTCTGACCGGGTATCTCTGCAACGCCCCGTTTCACTAAAGAGGGAAATACCCGGTCCAACACCAAAATCCCCGACCGGGGATTTAACTGCTGTGCCCGGGCCCCTCTCTGTTTCTCGGGCGCCCAACCTTGGTTAATACCCGGTCGGGTATTTGGCCACCTGACCGGGTATTTTGCTCCTTCAGCCCTATTCGTCCCAACCTTGCTCCTTTCGACCCAGAACTCGTTTCTCCGCCTCGATTCCAACGCCGGGACCTGAAATATGACATAAACACACAACCTCGCGTGAAATCGGCTTAAACCACGAGATTCCTCGTCGCAAACGGCCTCAGAATAGGGGTAAAAATATGTATAATTATCGATCTATCAAACTCCCCCACACTTAACCGTTTGCTTGTCCCCAAGCAAACCAAGTCAGACACTAGGTAAGCTTACATATTCAATCAACCAACATTGGGGACAAGTCATAAAGGCACAGAACACGTGAATCGCACTGGTTTTCAACCATCAATACATGCACAACCTCAGTAACAACCTGGACAACCACCACAAAGGACATACGAGTGCAGCAAATCGAGTAGAGGAAGAGTCTCCCGTCTGTTCACTGGCCAACCTAGACTTGATTCAACCACTTACTTAAAACAGTCAACTCATGCATCCAACTCAAAATATCAGAATAGAGACCGAGCAATCTAGGTCCTCACCGGGGTACAAGAGCATATAGGAAATGAAAATGAATCACTCACTCTCGACCAGTGGGGTCAGGACAATTTGATGCGAAAGATGCGCATGCTATTTCTCTCAATCCCTATCATCTCTTCACCATGATGGCAGCCTCTAAATGCTAGAGTTCACATATGGGGTGTCACCACCAACTAATCAGGAGGTCTTAGACACAGGTTCAAATGACTGGCTAGGGTCTTGGACATGGGGAAAAGGCCTTTTAGGTGGTGGAAGTATTCATAGCAAAAAGGTTCCACATTTTCCAAACACACAATCACAGTCAAACAACCCTGCATTTTCTTTCTGCTATTCTGCATTACTCAATATCTTAAGAGCACAAAAGCGAAGGAGGCATAATCAACAGCATTTCCAAGCCAGACTGCTAAGAAACACTACTTACTGGGCATTATTCAGATTTTTAGTAGTGGCTCTCTTTTGCTTTCAATTTTTTTCTTTATTTTTCTTTCATTTTTCTTTTCATTTCTTAAGAGAGCCACCACTTCTGCATAAATTTCAAACACTTGCCCAACTTTTAAGCACTACCTCCAACACTCACATAGACTTTAGCAGAAACAGCAGAGAATACATAAAACCACTCTGTGGAACCTTCTAAAAGATGCAACAAGGGTGATTTTTTCCATTATAGACCAAAAGAAAGGATAACACACGGCTCAAAGGGGCTGACTAGGGGATATGACACATCAGGACAGTCAGTTTCGGGCGTGGGCTAATCCTATGCCCCCATCATTTTAGCTAGTGACAACGTGAATGCTACACATCATGGAAGAGGGATCTATCGCACAAGAAAGAAACGAGCAGGCTCAAATCTCACATGGCTACCTATATGCTCTATCTCACATTCTGATACCCTGAACTAGATGCATAAACGACTGTCAAGGATAAGTAATCAGATCAAGTCAGATCAAGTCACAGTTGGCACGCAAACAGTTGAAAAACTGAACCCCTACATCGTTCTACTGCACATCTCAGTCCTCATCATAGGTTGTCCTAGTCGCAAACAAGTTGTCATGCATTAATCCGAAAACCAATCAATTCATCCATCAAAACACAGTGCCAATATGATCAAACAGCAGTACTTGGAGCCCTCAAATCGTAAGATTTGGACAGTGGACTAGGCTCCAAGCACACAAACAGAGCTAATGCAGTCAAAAGATAAACATTCCCCCCACACTTAAGATCGACATTGCCCTCAATGGAGAAGAGGGAAGGAAAGGGGAACGATGTTACCGGTATGAACAGACTGCAGAAGACTGGAAATGGACCAGTCGACATGGGACGGACTGGAGAGAGGACCAGTCGGGAACACAGGCAGAGCTAAAAGAGACCAAAAAGCTCAAACACATACGTTAGGTCCAATGTCAGCCCAATAAAACAGCAACCAAAACAAATGAAACAAACCAAAACAAAACCAAATCGCAATCCGACTCGAAACATAAGAAAGAAAGTCAAACCGTGGTGGGGTTGCCTCCCCACAAGCGCTTCTTTACCGTCTTTTAGCTGGACGCCCATGGTGGATACTCAGGGAAGTGCAGGAACAGGTGCCTCCAAGAGCGGATCCACATCGCTCTTGAGGTACAGCTTCAGGTGGTGACCGTGCACCCGACGGCTGCAACCACCAGCAGAAGTCAGCTCGACCTGGCCATCCGGCAAGATGCAGGCGAGTGAGTACTCGGATGGCCAGGGTGGTCGTGGTGCGGGGGGTGGGACCAGCTCATAGTGGTCTCCACTCTTCTTCCGTGCAGGCTTAGCCACTTGCGGCTTCGGCCGCCACTCCTCCTTGAGCTTTTTGTTCGAAGGCGAGGCTGGATGGAGTGGCGGCGGAGGAATGATAGGCGGGTCCTGCAAAATGAGAGGTGCAGAAGGATACACGACAGGCTCGTGTATCCGGTCAGAAATAGCATGCACAGGCGCTACAGAAATCATAGCACAATGATCAGACTCAGTCACAGGAAAAACAGCCTGTTCATTTCCAGCACGCAAGATCAGTTTACCATCATGCACATCAATCAGTGCCTTGGCGGTGGCAAGAAATGGTCTACCTAGAATCAAAGGCACATCCACATCATCATTTATATCCAGAATAACAAAATCAACAGGATATGTGAATGCACCCACATTAACAAGCAAATCTTCTATGATACCCCTAGGATGCACCACAGAACGATCAGCTAGCTGAATGCTCATCCTAGTAGGGCTAAGTTCACCTAGGTCTAGCTTTTTGAACAATTTGTATGGCATGACATTAATGCTAGCGCCTAGGTCCGCCAAGGACTTTCCTACATGCATGCTGCCAATAGTAAGAGGGATAGTAAAACTCCCTGGGTCCTTGCGCTTTTCGGGCAGCTTGTTCTGCAGGATGGCAGAACATTCCTCGCTCAGCAGCACTGTCGAGAGATCCCCAAGTTTCTTCTTGTTGGTGCAGAGATCTTTCATGAACTTAGCGTACTTGGGCATCTTCGACAGTGCCTCCACAAATGGTATGCTGATGTTGAGCTGCTTCAACATTGCCATAAAATTGGCAAACTCAGTCTCCAGCTTGTCCTTGTGAAGGCGAGTGGGGAAGGGAAGCTGGGGTACGTGCTCCTTCACCACTGCTTGTGGCTTGGGAGCAGGGGCTTCCTTCTCCACCCACACTTCTGTATCACCGGCTGGAAGTGCTGAAGCAGGTAATGGTTCCTCCTGCCTGGTCGGGGCAGGATCAGCTGATGTAGGCCTGCCGCTCAGGGTGAAAATGGCATGTGCGGTCTCGTGCGGGTCCCGTGGATTGGGGATGGTGGTGGCAGGTAGAGTCCCCGGGGCCCGAGCAGTAAGCTGGCGCGCTAGGACACCGACCTGGTGCTGTAGATCTTGCAAAATAGCACCCTGGTTCCTCTGCCCTGCCTCCAAAGAAGCTATGCTCTGGTCCACCCTTGCGAAATTCGCCTGGCTGGTGGTCATGAATGTCGCCAAAATGTTCTTCAGATCAGCCATCTGATTATCGGGAGCTGCGGCTGCTGGAGGCTGAGCAAACTGGCCCTGGGGCTGCGGGAATGGCTGCCCTTGCCTAGGCTGGTAGGGCTGCTGCTGTGGTGGTGGCCCTTGCCTATCCTGGTAGGGTTGCCTCTGCTGAAAACCACCTGCTGGTGCTGGGAAACCAGGTGGTTTGTTGGTGTTGTTGCTCCAGGCGAAGTTGGGATGCTGGCGCCATCCCTCATTGTATGTGTTACTGTATGGATCGAGGCGCCGAGCATTGGCGATGAAGGCCAACTGTTCTTGGGGAGTAGAGGACTCCCGCATAGCCTGGCAGTCCTCCACCAGATGGTTCGGACTCTCACACCACTGGCACTGAGCTACCGGAGGCGCAGCTACACCTCGACCCGGAAGGAGACTGTTAGGCTGCTTCAGGGTCTGCACCAACTCAGCCACCTGCTGCTCTAACCCGGATCTGGCCTCCATAGCATGCACACCACGGTCCCGGGAGTGCCTGCCTCTGCTGCTCTGCCCCCAGGAATGATCGCGGGCAGCCAAAGTACTGATCATCTGGTTCAGCTCGGGTGGAGTCTTAGTAAGGATATCCCCTCCTGGGCATAGAGACTCGATCACCCTCTGGCTGTCTGGGGTGATGGCACTGTAGAAGTTCCCCACTGTGAAAGCATCGCTGAAGCCATGATGGGGACACTGCCAGAAGTATCCCATGTACCGCTCCCATGCATCACGAAGGGACTCATCTGGCTCTTGGCGGAAGTGAGTGATCTCCCGCTGAATCTCAGTAGTCTTCGATGCCGGATAATATCTGTGCACGAACTTATCCGCCAGATCGTCCCAAGAAGTGATGGACAGTGGGGGCTGGGTCTCCAACCACCTCTTAGCATTCCCCGCCAGAGAATGGGGGAAGAGGTGAAGGCGGATTGCATCATCCGGAACACCATTCAGCTTGAAACCGTTTGTCAGCTGCAGAAAACGGGAAAGGTGTGCCCGGGCTTCCTCATCCTTCAAGCCATGGAACTGGATAGAGGAAGTGATGAGCTGAATCCAGCCTGGCTTGATCTCGAAGTTATTTGCTGGGATGGGCGGATAGAGGATGACCGGGCGGATGTCAGCAATCCGTGGAGTGTAGTAGTACTCCAAGGTGGGACCCGGCGGTGGTGGTGGTTGCTGATTCACCGGGGGAACCTGTCGAGCATTCCCCGGTTGTGGGATGTCTTCGCCCTCCATCTCGTACTCTTCCTCAGAATCGCTGGTCAAGTGGCCGTCTATGCGCTCTCCCGTAACCAGTCTAGCTCGCCGCTGTCTCCTAAGTTGGCGGCAAGTGCGTTCAAGCTCTGGATCCAACGGCAGTAAACCTCCTGACTGGCTACGGGTCATGCACTACCTGCACACACTCAAGCAAGCAAACCCGTGAAGGCACAAGTGGGAAAAAACAAAAACTCAATGCGAAAATGAAAATGCTAAAGTAACAGAAATCACTTTTCTTCAACAACCTAGCCGTCCCCGGCAACGGCGCCAAAAACTTGACTCGCTGTTACTGTCACCCTAGAAAATGGCCAAGTATAACCACTTCCTAAAGCGTAGTATAGCGGGTCGGGTTTTAATGTCAACCCGGGTCCTAGATGTGATGACTACTCGGTGAATTCTTGTTATTCAGCAGTGAACTTTTAGTGAAACTCAAGCAAACAAAACACAAAGCAAGTAAACGGTTTGTTGTCAAGTCAAGAGAGGTCACCCGGATATGGTTTCCCCCTAGACTGCAGTTAAGTCGGATTGCAATTTACCAAGTTCAGTTTTCATGAAAGTTATACTGCGGAAGGTTCTCAATTAGCCTGAAGTCTCGACTAAAGGTCTCCAGACCCTCTCAATCTGAGTCTCTAGCGGGCGACTAACCTCCACCGGAGTAAACAGATTGAGGCCCTAATGAACCAAACCTCCACTACCGAATCGACTTCGGTACAGAATAGCGAATTGGCTCCTCGACTAAAGTCACCAATTCGCTACCTTCGATTAAGGGTACTCTATCAACCTAGGCAGATATTCTCATTCCAGGTCAAAGCAGAAACAACAGGAATTTGATCAGGATTCAAGTCATTCAATCAATCAAACCTCAATCGAATATAATCAATTCACAAACACTGTACTTGGGTTCATACAATCAGACCTAGCTTACAAATCTAGGGTTCTCCATACCCAGATGAATGGGGTAACTACTCCATAGAGAAAGAAGCAAAAGCAGATTCAGACACGGAAATCATACTGTGAAGTTGGATTCCTGCTTCTGGACGTTTAATCGCACTTCTCCAAGCTCAAGACGGGCTCCAATGGTGTTGAAGATCGATCTATGGCGCTTGGGAACTCTGGTTCGACGCTTTCTCTCTCTAGGTATCGGTTTCTCTCTCAAAAACTCGGACCCCTTCAATGTTGGCCTTCTTCTCTCTTAAATCCTCTGCCTGGTCGCGATACCCGGTCAAAATACCCGGTCGGGTATTTTGGGTTCTGACCGGGTATCTCTGCAACGCCCCGTTTCACTAAAGAGGGAAATACCCGGTCCAACACCAAAATCCCCGACCGGGGATTTAACTGCTGTGCCCGGGCCCCTCTCTGTTTCTCGGGCGCCCAACCTTGGTTAATACCCGGTCGGGTATTTGGCCACCTGACCGGGTATTTTGCTCCTTCAGCCCTATTCGTCCCAACCTTGCTCCTTTCGACCCAGAACTCGTTTCTCCGCCTCGATTCCAACGCCGGGACCTGAAATATGACATAAACACACAACCTCGCGTGAAATCGGCTTAAACCACGAGATTCCTCGTCGCAAACGGCCTCAGAATAGGGGTAAAAATATGTATAATTATCGATCTATCAGGTACCGATGGGCAAGTGACCAAAATTCACCCAGCCCAATGCGAGCGCCGACTGGCGACGGCTCCATGGATTATTATTTTTGGCTATATCAGCGGTGTCGTTTAATTCAAAACGGTACCGCGAGTAAGCCCAACGGTACCGCGGATTAGCAAACGACAGTGTTTAAATAAAAAACAATGTCGCGAAAGAAAAGGCAAACGGAGCCGTTTTGGCGCTAATGATGTCTTTGGTCAATACACAAGTTTGACTAGTGATGACCAGATTAATTAACTAATATTGTTAATAATTATGTAGGACGGTGTCGTTTAGTTGAAAACGATGCCGCAAGAGTAAAGAAACGACACCGCGGATTTGAAAACGATGTCGCGGGTATAATCAAGCGGTGTTGTTTAGCTAAAAACGACACCGTTTAAGGCATCAACAACGCCGTAGTATTACTAAGCGATGTCGTTTTGTTAAAAACCATACCATGATGGTTTGGATTTTGGCGAGTGGCCCGCCAAGCCCAACGACGGCGCAAGACTAGAGAACGACGTTGTTTGATGGACTAACAATGTCGTTGGTTAAACCGGGTCGGGGCAGTTTAGTTGGATTATAAAACGGCATCGGTTGGTGAAAGGCAATGTCGTGGTATTGGTGAAACGTCATCGTTACATGGACAAGGTTGTAAGTCGTTTCGCCAAGTTTCTGCAAAGCAAGAGCGGTTTAGAGGGCACGTGATTATCACGCAACAAGGAGGAAGTTACCTGCATGGTTGACAGGAATGAAGACGTGGGAGACAAAGGCGCCAAGGCAGTTACTACGACGGGGAGAAGCGCGAAGTATAAAGATTGGGAAGAGAGAGAAGCTCAGGACGGCAAAATCAAATCACAAACTGCACCGTCGCAGATTTTATCTTTTCTCTCTCTAGTTCGTAGAACCGCTCTGTCAAAGACCTCCTTTGCAGAGTCGTAGTCGTAGCTTGTAGTCGTAGTCGCGGAGTTCTCCAGAGGAACCTCCATAGGAGTAGAGGTAACGTAACTTAGAACACTCCTGGTTCGATTCTCTGTTTATTCGTCGAACACCCTCGTTCGAACGTAGTTTGGAGAGGTGTTGAACCGAATAACAGTTGTTTGATTAGAAGTCAAAGGTGTATCGATCAAATCAACGACGCCGACACCGGCGGCGGCCATTTGACGATCGTCTTGGTTTCTGCTTTAATCGATCAAATCAATGACGCCGACTTCGGCGGCGGATATTTGACGATTTTGCTGATTTTGTGTTTGTGTTTTAATTGAAAACAGTGCGCATCGAACACGTGAAGTTTCGCCAACGAAACAAACACCCATTTCATCTCATATTTGATTCACCGGGCCAAGCCGATTGCTCTATAATCCTTTACCACTGCATATGCATAGTCAACCATCTTAATCCCTCTACTTCCTCTACTATAAAGCTGATTGAAGACATATTTCTTTGATTTGTATTAGTCATTTCTCATTTCCAACTTCACAAAGGTAAGTTGACGAATAACTCAAAGTTCAGTGATCTATGTTTGCGTTACTCATTTTAGTAGTTGACCCTCTTCGTCTTATCATCATTCTTTTCTTCTGTTTGAGCCACAGCACCCGGGTCCCACTTGACCGTGAATTTGTCTGCCAACTACCCTCGAGCGCCCAGGTCCTGCACCCACAAGCGCCTAATGGGCTACGGATGCCCGTTAGCACTCCGATGCTTAAGTCAGTGAGCAATCTAGAGAGATAAGTATAGAGTGATATTTCTAGTGAGAGAAGCCAACCTGCGTAAATGCCACCTACCGAGTACTATTTATACTCGTCGAGGTCCAGACCGAGCTCCTAGAATCGAGCTCCACGTCAGCTCGCCATTAAATGCTTGGTACGGACCAACGGTCGGGCGTCTACACGTGGCGACTCCTGCTTAGGCGCCCGGAAGGACCACACTGCCAGGTGGCACGTTCTCCGTCTCCCGCTCTTCCCGGATGCCTGGTCCCCGGCCTACTTTTGTCCCTATGCGTCAGGTCCCCTATCGTTGGGCCTGCCCCCTACCCCTGGCCTTTTCCTCAAGCTCCAATGCGGGCTTGGGCTTATGCAGCGCATCCCCGGTCTATGTCCCCCATGATCCGTCTTCCTTTGAGCCTTGACTCCCCACCTGGGCTTGCTTCTTTGCCCTCATGCCATGCGTTTGGGCCCGGGCGCCCTATAGCCCAATCAATCATGGTCCGTCCGCCTTTGGGCCCTGACTTCTCACCCGGGCCTGTCCCTTTGCCCCCATGTCGTGCGTTTGGGCCCGGGCGCCCATAGCCCAACAATTGTCCCCCAGTTAGGCGCTCATGAGTTGTCGTGAGTGCCTAACTATATATCATGTCCTTCTTCTTTCTTGACTGAGGTTTCCCAGCCTGCCTCTTGACATATTCTAGACGGTGCCCGCACCATCCTCTGCCTTTGGTCGGGTGTACCAGAGCATTGGCTCTGCGTTCGGTTCTCCTCACCTCCACGTTCGGGCGCTCGACTCGTTCCTGACTCATGATACTAGGCGCCCCCTTCGATCCACCGTTCTATTCCTAATTGTGATTTTAGGCGCCCCTTTCGCCATACACTCGCGCCCCCTAAAATTTGAATTTCTAATAATTCTGAAAATTCGAATTTAGAAATTCAAATTTTGAAATGGATGGTGAGGATTAAATCTAACGGTCGGGCGCGCATCCCCATTTTTTCCCGTTGGGCTTCCCTTCCTATAAATACCTTCATCCGCATCCGCCCCCCTCATTTGTGCGGAATTTTTCTCTCTCTAAACTTCTCTCTCTAAGCCCGCGGCGTCCGTGCGCCCCCTTTTCTTTGCTCGCGGTGCCCGTGCGTCTGTTCTTCCTCAAAAAGAGAAGATAACCCCCGACCCATTCCGATGTCTACCAAAAACAAATCAGGCGCCCCCTCCCCCGACGCCCCAAAGAACAAAGATGCGGCGCCCGATGTTATTAAGGAGTTGGAGAAGCACTTCTCTCCTGATCCAAACCGCGAGTCTGACGGATGGACGCCGAAAGGGCGCAATCAGGCGCCTACCAAAGGCGGATCCTCAGGCGCGGCGCCCATCGAGTCCCGCGAAGTGAGTCGGGCGGATGGAGCGACGGCGGAAGAAGTGGCGGCGCCCTCAAACCCTAATCCACGTAAGTGCTCGGTCATCCCACCCTTTTTTTTTTTCGGCCGGCGCCTTAGATACTAGGAATTGACATTGACATAGCCCCCCTTACCTCGATGATTTTTAGGCGATGCGCCTGGGTCTCCGCCATCGTCCGAGACGGGCGCCCGGGAGGATCGAGCAGTGAAGATAGTGCATTGGGCAGATACTTGGCCATCGGGCGGGGCGCCTATGGAAACATGTCATATGACCATGGCCGAGGCGGGACCCCTTCAAGTTTCCACCGTGAAAGCCCTCGAATTGGAAAACTTGGTTGTTTCGCTGGAGCTTCCCCGCTCATGGACTTATGCGCCTGCCCCGCGCATCGCGAGGGTTGGAGTTGTTGGACCCCGTTGGGTGGGGCTCTATCGGGAGTATTTCCGCTTTGGTCTCCGTTTCCCCTTGGATTCGATTCTTGAAGGCATTTTGTCGACTTGCAAGTGCTCCATTGGGCGCCTGTCACCCTCCGTCTTCCTCATCCATATCTTATTCAAACTAAAATGTCGGCAGCATAATGTCGAACCCACTTTCAAACTTTTCCATCATTTTTTCACCATGTCCGCCAGCTACAATTGCCTATCCCTTCAAAGGCGCCTAGACATTCCTGGCCATTTCCTCAGAGAGTGCCCGAAGTTAGGAAGAAAGTGGTTTAGAAGCTTCTTTTTTGTTAAGGCGCATAAGTCCTCGTTTTATGAGAGTGGCGCCTCATTTACTAGAGGTTGGGTGGTTGGAGACCATGAGGCTTTTAATGTTGAGATACCCCTATCCACTGACGCGGAGAGGGAGGGCGCCCGCCTCTTATCCTTGCACCCCGTAAACTTGCGTTCCACCGCCGCTAGGAAGCCTGTACTGCATGACTATTACCGCGACGGTGGGCGCCTAATTTCATTGTACTCATATTAGACATTCTCTCTTCTTCATTGCTAACTTGTTGTTTTGTTGGTTGTTTTATTCGTGCAGGGGCGGACTACACCTCAGTTGCCAGCCTCATGAAGTCCAAGTTTGCACAACTGGGATTGGAGGCCAAGAAGGCGCCTAGCTCCAAGAAGGCGCCCACCGCCAAGAAGGCGCCAGTCTCCAAGAAGGCGCCAGCCGCGAAGAAGGCGCCCGTCTAGAAGCAGGGTGGCAAACGTGTTGGGAATGTCGCCAAGGTTGGATCACTAAAGGGTGCGGATATCACGACCGCCGATCTTGATGTCACGGAAACAGAAGCGCCTTCCAAGGAGCGCCCGAAGCGAAAAGGAAGGTCTCCAAAAAGAGTGCAGCCTACCAAAGTCCCCAGTCCCTCTGCCCCGGACACGTTGGGAGACTTGCTGGAAACTTGGGAGGCGCCCAAGGCCGCCGATCAAACAGACATGCAGGCGCCTGCTATCGATTTGTTGAAGGATGTAGATTCCGCCGATGACGATGTGCCTTTGTCCGCTCGCAAGAAAAGGAAGATGGAGGGCGCCGAAAACGAGGCAGACAAGCGCCCAAGGTTGGCTGATGATTACGCAGATGTGCCCGAGGGAGTGAAGAAATGGCTTCAACCT